TTTATTTAGAGGCGCCTTTTTGGCAACTCAAGGAGATTGTACAATAAAACAGGAGCAATAAAACAACAAGAAAAATAATATATAAGAAAAAAATATATACACAGCAAAATTTTACATACAAATCTGTTTAGTTTTCATCATTGTACTGTTATTATGTAACCCATAACGTGCTTAGTTTGGAAATCATCAGGTTTAAAAATGGTTGTGTAATTTACAAGATTGTGCATGGTTTGGTTTCTCCTCTTTTATCTGACTTTATTTTATTTAATTCTGAACAAAACAGAGGTGATTGCAACGCATTATTCTACTTTAAAAAAAAAAACTAGAGCATCGCATTAGTGGAATTTAATACCACAATCTGTTAAAAAATGTGTATCTTTTAAATTATTTAAGTATAATTTTAAGAAATGGCTTTTTAATAATTACAATTGTAAATACTAGGCTTTTTAATACTGTTGTTGTGGCTTTTTTTTGCCGTTCATTTAAGTTAGAGCTGGGCGATGAATCAAAAAATAATCGAAATTTTCATTCAGAACCCATAGTTGATGTACTTTTTTCCAGGACAATTTTTTTCAATAACTTTCCCCACGTGTCATGTGACCCCAATCTGTTAAAGGCTGTAGCTGTTTTCTACTTCTGCTGCCACTTTGCTGCCATTTCTGATCTCTGGTCAAGGATGATGGACCCATACTTTCTACCTCACTGATGTTGATTAGAAGCTGCGCCTGAGATGCCTTAAGATGGCATATGTTCCATTACATTAAAATTATAATTTGCATTAAAGTATTTGTTTACAGAAGATGTAAGAAATGTACTGTTTAAAATATTATTTACAGGATATGCAAGGGTTATTTTATTTAGAAAAAAATACCTCTTATTTTCTACTTTTAATATGAAAAACATTTAACATAATTTATTTTGATTCCAAAAATGCAAGTTATTCATTTTCACTTTTTTATTAGAAAAAAAGTGATTGTTGTTTTTAGGCAATTTGTGTTTTAATTTCAGTGATTCAATGCTGATATTCAGTAAATAATATTCAATAGAATTTCCTTCAATTATTTTAAAATCAAGTAATGCATCCTTCAGTCAAAAAGTTCTCACATGTAATATGTGAGCTGAGCACATTTATTGTAGAAAACCTGCCTGTAAACTATAAGGGCAGAATAATAATAATAATAATGATTAAATAATACTTCATTAATCGTAATCGAGTTAAAATGTTCAACTAATCGAGATTTTGATTTTAGGCCAAACCGCCCAGCCCTAATTTGAGTATTGTTTATAGTTTGAATTTGTATTTTTATTGGTATGGCCTTTATCATCTGGCTAGTCTTTGGGCTAATTTGAGTACATTTACGTTATTGGGGAATGTGTGTGGATTAATGTACGCTGTCATTACACTGTTGTGAAATAAATTAACTTAAACGTATAAATGTTCTTGATGATCAGTAATGTTTTTGTTTGGGTTTTTGCACAAACCTCTATTCACCTTATTCTTTGCGTACAAGCTGGAGGAGCCATTTGAATCTGTTTGGCTCGAGACTTCTGGTCTCATTCACTTCTATTCATTTTTAGACATTGAAAACGGCTTGTTACGCTGCTTGATGTTGCAAACTGATATTTTCTTATATCAATTGTTTGCAGAGCAAGTAGTTTGACTGTTTTTTGTTGTTTATTTTTCCTAGTCATCTCTCCTATAGGCAACTGAACTGAAAGTTCTAAAACAATCGCAAAAACGAGCGCAATCCCACGTTGAAGGATAAGGTCAATAGTTCATTTACATTCTAAGTCAATAGTGTGTTTTATTTAGTTTATCAGTAGATCATGTAGGTTGAACCTGAGCAAAAAGTATAATATCTGGCACATTACACTAAACAACTAATATAATAAAGGAGTAACATGAGCCTGGCAATTGGCAATTTAAAAGAATTGTTTTTAATTTTGTGTGCCATATGCATCAGATGTTCAGCCATCGGCTCAAAGCTGAGACTACTTGACTTGTGGTTACATATTACTTACAGTCATCATTAATATCTCAAGGGGACAATCAAAATGATGTGAAATTGTAAAGTATTACCAATTAAAGTTTTAAATAATAATAAATAAATAAAAAACTCAAGCTTTATTTTATGATGGCCTCGAACATTTGGACATGCTACACTGTTAAAAAATATCTGTTAATTAAAAGTTTCCGTATTGTTTTTTCTGTTTATTTGCAGTTGTGAATTGCCTTTTGAGGTGTTGATCTCTGCTTTGTTGACTTTTGATGGTGAAAATTTGGCTCTACAGTTTGACAAAAAAGTGACGTTTATTGATATTTTAGTCGTTTAAGACTATTAAAAATGTTAATAAAAGTCCAACTTTTTTCAACTATTTAAGGCTAAAAGTTGACAGAAGAAAGATCAAGGTCTCATTACGCGTTTTAAAAGCATAAATAATTGGGAGAAAATAAAAAATAAGAAGTTGGATCACAAAATATGGAAAACTGCTAATTTACAGATGTTTTTTTTTTTTTTTTACAGTGTACTAAAACAAAGCCTGTTGTTGATTGCATAGTCTATTCACATGCTGACATTACCAAATCTCTTCCACAAGGGGTTCAATAATATTTTCTAATGCAAATAGTTGAGCATGGCACTAGCAATGACAAGGTCATGGGTTTAATTGAATGTGTTGCTTTTAAATCTATTAGTTGACTTAAAAATTATCAGGTAAGTTATCCATAATAACTAACTAAGGAAACACTTGTGGATTAGAACGTTTTAATGGACAAATTGTTTTCATGGAACCACAAATGCCAAAAAGCGTTAATATATAGGATTCTAGCATTTTTCACATACCTGTACTATACGGTAAAACTTCAGAATAGTGATTCAATAGTTGTTAGTTGATGTATTTATAATGTATGAAAAATCTAACGTATGAATAATCTTGAAAAGGATTTAATAATCATAGTTCAACATTAATTAATGCATTATTAACATCCAAAGTTGTGTTTGTTAACATTAGTTAATGCACAGTGAGTTAACATGAACTAACATTGCCTAACATTAACATTATGCGTAATAAATACCCTAATAAATATATCACTAATTGTTTGTTTATGTTAGTAAATACATTAACAAACAACTAATGAACCATTATTTTTAAGTGTTACCTTACATACTGTAGCATACAAACTGTGACAATCTTGGTTCATACATTTTTTATGCTTTAGTAAAGTCAGAAGTCAGTTATTTTATTAAGGATAGAAAATTACATGTTTAAGACACGTGTCGGTTTGCCTGTCTCTCTTCATTTTCTTTGTTCTTTAGTTTGGCAGTGTTTTGAGCATAGCCAGTGTGGTTCTCGCTCTTGGACGCCGCAAATCTCAGATGTGTTTCCAGACTTGAGGCCAGTCAGGAATGAGTTTACGATATCACACTGTGAAATCAAACATCTCTTTCTCGGCTTCGCGAAAAGCCAGAGGACCTGTGTGCTGTCAAAGACACATTCTTTTGCATTGCACCCTGAACATTGTATTTAGCTAAAATTAAAGTATCATGGTTTACCCAAATTTAATCTATTTAAAATGTTATTTGTTCCAGTTTTCCCAGTACTGGGTTTTGGCTGGAATGGCATTTTGTGTGTAAAACATGCTGGAATAGTTGGAGGTTCATTCCGCTGTGGCGACCCCTGATAAATAAATGACTAATCCTAAGGAAAATTAATTAATTAATTTGTTCTTTGATTTACAATATGTGCAATCTTTTTCATGACTATAAAATAAGATTTGTGAATATAAAATTATTTTTAAAGTTTTTTAATCCATTTTACATATGTCCTTTTTAATGTTCCATCTATCCATCCATCCATCCATCCATCCATCCATCCATCCAATTTTTTATTTAATGTTCTATCAATCCATCCATCCATTCACCCATCTATCCAATGGTCTGTTTATTGTTTCATCCATCCAGCCAGCCATCCATACATCCATCCATTCATCCAATGTTCTATTTAATATTCCATAAATCCATCCATCCATCCATCCATCCAACGTTCTATTTAATGTCCCATCCATCAATCCATCCATCCAGCCCTTGTTCTATTTAATGTTCCATCAATCCTTCCATCAATCCATCATCCATCCATCCATCCATCTAATGTTCTATTGAATGTCTTATACATCCATCCATCCATCCAATGTTCTGTTTAATGTTCCATCCATCTATCCACCCATCCAGTGTTCTATTTATTGTTCCATCCGTCCATATCCATCCATCCATTAAATGTTCTTTTTAATGTTCCATCCATCTATCCACCCATCCAACGTTCTATTTATTTTTATATCCATCCAACCTTCTGTTTATTGTTCCATACATCCATCCATCCATCCATCCATCCATCCATCCTTCCATCCATCTTATTCTTCCAACCATGACAAAGTTTGAATGTTCTGTCCATCCAATGTTCTATTTTATGCTCCATCGCTCCATAGTTGGCAGTTTATTCATTCAGGCAACCCCTGATAAATAAGTGACTAAAATGAATGAATGAATGTGAGCATAAATTTTTTTTTTTCAGTTTGTAATCAACTTCACATTTGTGGTAGAACATTCTCAAGAAGCCGATAAAAACCTGCGCTGACCATATTTTTAAGGGCCTATTCAGCCACTCACAACCTTTAAAGCTATATCTGCATTCTTGAACTTCTATAAGTCCTTTATTATATTAACTATATTAGTATTTAAACTCCTGAAATCTCTGCTTTCAACAGGAACCAGCTGTCCCCTTTGTCCTCTAGATGCTGTGAGGCAGTTTGAGCGTGTCCATCTGGAGAAACCTGCTGAGTTCACACGCTTTGATGCTAAAACATAAACCTTTAGCCTCTGAAGAAGCTGTCAGTACTGAGAGAGAGGGGGAGCACATAAAGAAAGAGATAGAAAAGAGGAGAAAGATGTCTAGTGACGTGAAGGGGAAAAGACAGCAGGCGTTTCTAAATAACAGCTACTTACCAAAATCTTTCTTGCAGTATTTTTTCATGGTGACCTTCATCTTGCCCTTGGGTGCTTTGCAGTGCGAGTCGCAATCTGAGGAAGATAACAGGCAGGCAGATTTTACATATATGGACAGCATAGTAAATGCAAGTTTCAAATAGACTATAATTATATAATAAATAATTATAATAATAATTATTATTATTATTATTATGTGTTTTTAATAATTTTTTCTTATTAAATTTTTTCTTTACGTTATTCTTTGTGTGACTTTTACTGTTGCACATTTTATATGTCTGTCAAGTGCTTGAGATGCTACCTTTAAAGGCACTGTATAAAAATAAAGTTTATTATTATTACTAGAAATATCCTGATCAGGTTTTTTTTTTTTTTTTTTTTTTGCCATTGAGTCATTTGATTTTGAGTATCTACTGATACTGAAATCCAAACGGATGATTCTATATTAAATAAAAAATGAATAAAGAAGAGTGAAGAAACAGATCCAGGATTTTCCAGGATTTTTTTTTTTTAATTCACCTTATTTTAGCATTCAACAACTCTGTTAACAAACAGAGCACTTCTGTGAGGTAGCTTAAACAATCAAGTAATAAAGTAATATAAATTAATTCTTCACTTTTGGACCTTAGTTTAACAGTAATATAAAAAAAATCTAATATAAAAACAAATAGCACCTCAACTTAAAATACCTAGCAGGCATGTAAACAAAAAAAACGTGCCACAGTGTTTGCAAAGCCAGTAATGTGCTCTTAGGAACTGCACACCTAACTATGTCATCACAGTAGTTGTACGAAAGGAAAATGTATGTTTTTCTTAATGAAAACTAAAATCTCTACCCTGTCAGGTTTGAGCCTGTTTCTGTTCTCAGCAAGGACGTTTGCGACGGCAACAAAGTGATGTCATGCCGAACGCATTGGTGTTTTTGTGTGAAGTCAAGAAAGAGGTCTGACTCTGTGCCACTGCATAACTATAGATGTAAAAATAAATAAATAAATAAATTATATATATATATATATATATATATATATATATATATATATATATATATATATATATATATATTTATATATATATTTATATATATATATATATATATATATATATATATATATATATATATATATATATATATTATGTATGTTCAAGTGCTGATCAGGAGGTAAGATCAGATTCCGATCGAGTCTGAAACCGTGTGATCAGATCTGGACACGCCTAATTATAATATATAATATTTAATATAAAAAAGTACAAAAAAAAAAGAAAGAACACACTTTTTCTGACTTGTACATATTAAAAAAACTGAAAACATTGTTAAAAAAATGTTGCTGAAAACTTTGTGGTTTGAAAACCTTGTGGTTTAAATGAAAGTGGTGATATAAAATTAAAAATAGACGATTAATTAGTATTCTGGGGCTGCAATGTGATCTTTAAATACAATCTTTAATATGCCATCAAATATTTCTTGTTTTAAATTGGCTTAACTGGATTTTTGTTATTTAAACTTTGTAAAATTGTTAAACCGAATGACATTTTAGTGGATATTTCTATAAATCATTGACATGTGTACATGCACTAAAAGTACTTCTTGAAATAATTGGTAAAAGCACTTATATTACATGTTGGAATGAAATACCATTCGTGCACTTTAAAGTCTGACTCAAGTGTCCAGATGATTTTGTTATTGGCACATTTCAAGAGAGTCGCATTAGACCTAATTAAGGCTTAATGGGCTTTTAATCGTTTAATCTTTTCTTCACTTAACCCAGTCATTTTCTCACCCTAATTATCAGCACCTCCCCATATACCCCCACTTACTCAGCAATGTCAGGGCAGGGGGTTCCACAGGTCATTTAAACTTCATTCAGACACAGAACACCCCCGTCACAATGCCCACAATAGCCAATCCTCATTTAAACGCAGCTTTCCACATATAAACCTCAGGGACGCCATCCAGCGTGATGATTTATAGCTTTAGCTCTGAGTAGATCTATTCAACACCACCGTAGAGACCAGAACCCCACACTGAGGCCTTGGCGATGGAAAAACTTCAACGCCAGGCACCTTTTGGACTGAAACTAGGGTGTTAGAATGGATTGCTTCTCCTGATGCAAACCGAAACCCGAGAGTCTCTCGACATATACTGTTGATACTTCACATGTAGTGTAATAACCTCAGCATTTCTGGAGGAGTATAAGAGCATGATGGAGGTTAATGAAATATAGAAATATACAATTATAAAGCATTATATTTGGATACATCTGTCTATCATCTATCCAACATCCATTCATCTATCTGTTGTTATATTTATCAAACATTCCATTCACTATGAATTTATCATCCAACATTCCATTCTCTCAATCTATCCATCCATACAAATGCTCTATGATTTTATCCATCCGCCCATTCACCCATCCATACATACATCCAACATTCTTTCATTGTTCTACAGTATTTATCCATCCACCCACCCACCATCTAACATTCCATCAATCTGCCATTCTATTTATCTTTCCATCCATCAGTCTAACTTCTCATCCATTGGTCTTTTGTTGTGTCCATCTGTCCATTCATCCATATATTCATCCATTAATCTAATATTTTATTCATAGTTCTATACAAGTAGGTATCATTATTGGTTATTATTAATATCAACGTTTTGTTAAGCATTCCATTCATCCATACATCCATCATCCAAATCAAGTTACCTTTAGCTCTTCACACACTTCATATTGTGTCAAAGCTGCTTTATAAAGATGAATAAAAAAATAATAAAAAGTTAGATAATATATAATTTTCGCTAAACATGTTAAATACAGTATGTCCAGCGTTATAATGTTCCATATATCTGTCTTTCTCTTCATCTATCCATCTATCTGATGTTTTAATATAATCCATACATCCATCCAACATTCAATTTAATGATTCATTCATCCATCATCTATATGTCTTTTATTCTATTCATCCAGCATTATATGCAATGTTTCATCCATCCATCCATCCATCCATCCATCCATCCATCCATTTTTTTATTCTATTCTTCCAACAATCCAAAAGTTGTAATGTTCTATCACATCCAAGGTTCTATTTTATTTTCCATTCCTCCATTATCTAAGTAACATTTATTCTATTCATCCAGTATTCTAATTTTCCTTCCATCCATCCATCCATCCATCCATCGAATGTTCTGTTTAATGTTCCATCCATCCATCATCCAACCCTCTACCCACCCATTCATCCACCTGTCCATCCATCTATCCATCCAAAATTCTTTTTAACGTTCCATCTATTTACCCATCCATCATCCATCCATCCAACATTCTATTTAATGTTCCATCCATCCAAAGTTTAATGTTTAATCTATTTATCCATCCATCCATCTTTTATTTTATTCTTTCATCCACCCCAAAGTTCTTATATTCTATCCATCCAATTTTTTTATTTTACATTATATACCTCTATCATCTATATACTTTTTATTCTATTCATCCAGCATTCTATCTGATCATCCATCCATCCATCCATCCATCCATCCATCCATCCATCCAGTGGTGTTTCATCTATCTATTTATCCATCCATCCATCTTTCATTCTATTCTTCCAACCATTCCAAAGTTCTAATACAGTATATTACATGTATCTATCCAATTTTCTATTTGATGTTCCATCCGCCATCATCTACAGTATATACCATTTATTCAATGTACATATTAACTAAATGTTTTGTTTATTGTTTCATCCATCCATCCATTCATCTAACATTCTATTTATTGTTTCATTCACCCATTCATTGAACATTCTATTTATTGTTCCATCTATCCATCTATCATCCAATGTTCTATTTAATGTTACATCAATTTATTTATCTATCCGTCCATCCATCCATCCATCCATCCACCTATCCAATGTTATATATAATGTTCCATCCATCTATCCATCCATCCATCCATCCATCCATCCATCCATCCATCCAATTTTCAATTTAATGTTTCATCCATCCAACGTTTTATCTATCTTTTCTTCTACTGTTCTATAATTTTATCATTTTGTTCATCTTAAGAGTCTCTAGTCACAGCTGCTTCACCTAGTGTAATAACTTGAAGATTTCTGCCGGACTGGACGAGATGGGAGCGAGAAGACCTTTCAGCTTTCGCCTGAATATGGACAAACTTCATTATTTTCTCCAGCCCTCTGTCCAATCCACCCTTTTCATGTCCTTTTATATTCCATCTGAATGAGGTTACCTGGGCAACGGCGAAGCAGGAAAGAACCACCAACCCGAATAAAAAAAGAGAAAGTTTGAAGGGGAAAGTTGAGGGGGGTTGGATGGCTAGAAGAGCGAGATGTCTGGCAGCTTTGGGGGGTGGTGGAACACAAAAAGCTGGTGCGCAGAATTAGGATGTGAAGGACCGTGAAGGGGGGAAATGAGAAAGTGTGGAGAAGGGGGTGGTGTCGACCAAAGTAAATGATTCTGACCAGTCCATATCGGCCACGCCTGATTTCCATGTAAATGCGTGAGCAGAGGACGGGATGGCTTTTGTATGGCGACAGCCCTTGTCCGCCTTATCCTGTCTCTCTTTGATAAGACTGGACAGACATTAGGCAAGCAGCACAATGCCTGACGCTGCCCATTACTCCCACGTCTACCAATAATGGACGTCCCCTGTGGAGGGACAAATTTCTACTTAATAGAGTCCCTTTAGCACAACTGTGCTGCTCACCAGGGAACCAGACTAGCTTGCTTGGAACGAGACCAGTGGTTGCCAAAGTCGCGAGGGGAAGTCACTTGGTGATTTCCAAAAATCTCATTTTATTATTAAACTATTAAAATTACCATAAACCTACAGAAGATAAACATAGTATTTAATGGTTGCATAAAAAACAACATGCAAATAAAAAGCCTTCAGTCAATCAATTCTTTTTCCATTGGATTGCGACCCCAGTGGTTATTAGGTTAGATTAACATCACAGCAATAGCATTCACTTCAGAATTATTTTATGGCAAAATGTTAAACTTTGACACCTCAACGGCACTCACGTGAAAAATAAAGGCCACAACTGAACGTGGAGGATCATCTTCAGGTGGTGATCTCCCATATTAAACCAAGAATAGTCTTGAGTTGTAAACATTGTGCCCCACCATTCTCATTTAGTGAGGTTAATATTAAATTAGGGTGCTTTCACACCTGTGAATTGATTCAGTTGTTCCGAAACAGGGATTAAAATTGTTACATTATTGCACTTTGTTCTTGGTGCGGTTCGTTTTCACACGGCAAAGTTTCTAAACGGACCAAAAGAGCTAAAACAAGTCACGTGTGAGTAAACTCTTTACATATGCCATTTACATATGCCAAATGAACTGCGCTAACTGGGCAAACGAGACCGGTTCCGAAATAAAAGTCTAGGAGTGAAAGCACCCTTAAACAATTGATTAATGACTAAAATTAATATGGTCGTTAGACTGTTGCACTTTTTTTGTGTTGTCAATATGCTCCTTTTACATAGTTGGTGTGTGTGCACCATTGTGTGCAATGTATGTATGTTTATGACCACCTCCGAGGATAGTGGGGCTCGCGAGGCACTGGAATTGTTATTTTGGGGGCCGGGAGCTGAAAAGTTTGGGTACCACTGTACTAGACTACAGCAGGGCAGGTGATGAGACTAAGAGAAGTGGTTGAATAATTTCATTTAAGTTTGGATTTTTTTTTTTTGAAAATTAGAAAATGTATATCTATTTGTAAGTTGATAAGTGAATAGATGACAATAGAAACATGCTGTGATACACAAACATAAATGTGTATAATGACATTTTTATGTTCAAATTTTATGTAAATTTAATTTTTAAATACTGGTCCCAAGCTTTGAAAGGCTAATTAAATAATTAAAATAATTAAAATCATAATTAAATGATAGGTAATCAAAGTTGCAGTATTTGTGCCAATATCATGAATTATTATTACAACTATTACAATTATAATAAAATTACAGTAAATAACAGTTTTCTATTTTTAACTAATTTTACAATTTTATGACATCAAAACTGTACTTTTAGCGTCAATACTCCAGTCTTCAGTGATCTTAATATGATGTTTTAATGCTTATTTACAAATTATCATTGTCAAAAATGCTATATATAATATTTTTTGAGAACCAAAATACTTTTTTTTTCAGATTGGGATAAATAGAAAACTTTTATATTCAGGCTCTAAATCTCTATATATTCAGTTCTTGTTAGTATAATTCCATATAAAATATATTAAATAAGTAATCGTTTATATTAAATCTGCTGTTATTTTTGTTTGATACAAATCATTGATAAATACTGAGTTAGTGATCATAATGTTGCAAAACTATTTTCTTTTTTTTTTCAATTATTTTGTTGATTTGTAAATATCATAGTTTTTCTCAAGCATTTTCAAACTACATTAATCCTTATAATTACTATAATTTTTGTACAAAATAATTTTAAGTAATATATCTTTCATTTGTTTATATTGACTTTGTACTGTATAAAGAAAACATTTTACATTTACAGTAGATGTGTGCAAAAATAAAATAGACTTCCTTTACAGGTCAAATTGAGCAAGACAATATAGTAGATTTAATGCATTACTGAAAAACAAAAGAAAAAATAGAAAAATCTAATCAGGACATGACATATATCAGATTTGAACCAGCAAGACCACATCAACTCGGTGGATTCATGAGCACTAACCAGGGTAGTTGTAGTTAGGACAGGGTAGTTGGACAGAAGCCAGAGTTTGACTGAATGGGGCGACTGCACATTCTGCAGTTCTTGCACAGCGAAGACAGCGATCGGGCAGCCTGGGTAATTGAGGATGAATGAGCGTACACGAGTGTGTTCTCCCTCACAGAGTGTGACAGGAAAGCAAACGCGTTCAAATGAAGCATGTAATCAGATTAAGGTCCCAGGCAGTCTCACTGGTGACTGAGACAAAGCAAAGCCACGGCTTATGTTGATATCGTCATGATTGAGGAAAAACTCTAGTAGACCATGAGGGGAAAGTGATATTTGGGGCAGTGTTTTGGCAGTCTATGGCATGCAGTAAAGTCAGCAAGTGGTCTTTTATCACCCTGAAGGGCTTTACTGTACTATTGTGTATGATGACATCTGCTAATTAACAATTGAGTGAATGGATAAGTGAACAGAGTATGAGGTGGTTTCTGATTATTTACGCTTGAGAATAGCATTTTGGGATGTTGATATCTGCCCTGACAACCTCTGATGTTGAAACTGTGAATTTTACTGACATTTTTAGTAGGCTGAAACATTATATTACTATTATTATTATTATGTCAATTAAAAAACAAAACTAGGTAAGAACTGCCAGTTATTTTGTGCATTTATTTGCTTAGCATATAAACAGCATAAAAATGTTTGTAGCATTTAAATAAATAGTGTAGCCATGGTGTTTAGATTTGATTTTTCTTTTATGACTATGTAAAATATCTAGATTTTTATGCTTTTAATTTAATATTTTATTTTATTCGTGTCATTGTCACACAAACAAGTTGTACTTTGTATATGATAAATTTGTTTTATTTATTCACAATTATTTTATTTTACATTATATACAGGAGTTATGGGACCATGTTTATGCCTTATAAATATTAAAAGCAAAAAGGTAATTGTGAGAAATTTTAAAAAGACAAATTACATGGTATAAGAAATAAAGGAAAATAAGCTTGCTGTGATATGAAAACAGACTTTTCAAAATACTCTTTCAAGCTATTTATGTACCATTAATTTACAGTGTTTTATTTAAAGAGAATGTTCATAACATAGTTGTAAAAAAAGCTGAAATGCTAAACACAAATTTGGTTTTGGAATATCTCTCATGTACACTGCAAAAAAAATATATGATCAATTAGTCATGAAAGCATAAGTTTATAGTTCATTGTAACTTATTAAACTAAGTTAATCGTGTTCTAACTTAATTTTCTAAGTTAAGCAAGCTGTTTTTAAACAGTTTAACATAAAACAAGTTCAATTGACTCAATGGATTGGGTTAATTTAAAATTAAGGCAACCAGGATTTTTTACAGTGATGTTGGTGTCTAACAAGTTCTTTACTTAAGTCAAACAGAAATTGTACCAAATTGTGAAGGTATTTTTAGTTTGTAGTTTTCTGGACTCACCTGTGGGCCCGTCTGGGCTGCTGTATGATGATGTGGGAGCAGCAACTGGAATTTCTGTAACAAACAGTCAAGAAAAAAGAATAAAATTTTCATGTCATACTTTAATTGCATTGCTACTATCAATAAACACTTGTAGTTTAAAAAGATGGTTCATCTAAAAATGTAGACATTATTTAATCATCTAAAAGTGGTTTCAAACCTTTAATAATTTCTTTCATCTGTTGAACACAAAAGAAGATATTTTGAAAAATGTTAGAAACAACTAATCATTATGTGCATCCCAAATCGCATACCTGTGCACAATTTCACTTTATTTTATTGTAAAAGTAGTGCATTCTCACTAAATTGACATTTAAATACCCATAATTTCCGTTAAGTAAAAACACAGTGTTCTATTTGGGAAGATACTAAAGTCATACAGTACACACAGTGCATAATGCAGTGAGTCATTTGGGACGCAACTATTTACTTCTATAATAAGAAAAACAAATACGATGATTGTCAATGGTTATAGGTTTCCAGAATTTTTCAAAATATCTTCTTTTGTGTTCAACATTAGAAAGAAACATATTTATGACAATTTATTTTTTGAAAGTATTTTGTCCTTTTCCTTTATTTGCTGCTTTTCCTCACTGTCTATAAAAATAGTATTGTACATTGTTAATTTGTGCTGAAAATTTTTGAGTTCCCATGCGAAGTCTTGCATCTTTCTATAAACAGCAGGTGTTGAGTATGGCACATCAAATACTAGGAGGGGCACACACCCCTTAAACAAATATTTTGAGTAGATACCCCTTGGGCGACGTCTAAGGACAATAAGATGTTCCACAAATTGTTATAAATTTACTTTTGTGCCTGAAGCTATTCGGTTTTGTACTAAATGTAGTTAATCAATAGGGTTGGGTCGATGGCCGAAAGACATCACGATGCTGAGCTAGCATCACGATCCTCAGCTCCCGTCGCTGCAGCAACCCGCTCGCAAAAAATACATACTAAGGCTCCATTTACACTAATATGTCTTAGTTTTAAAATTAAACTAATGAAAATGATCCATGTCCACACTAGTGTTTCATCTAGCATTTCTAAAAAGCCCTTCTTCCACACTATACCACTGAAAATGCACATCACGCGACCATACACACACACACACAAACACACTCTGTCATGCACTCTAGCATGCACACACATCTGAGTTCTAGGCAGTCATCGGGTGCTTTGAGCTCAAAACCCAGAGAGCAGTGCATGTCGAACAGTTTATCAAGGATGTACTGCTGGATTGCATCTCACTATAGTTGTTAAACATGGTATTTAATTCATCTTGTCTCTATCTAACGACTCTTCAGTCTTTTGAATCTATCAGGTAATGGGTCACAGCGTCAGTACACTGCTTCAATCTTTCACTTTCATGCCTGTACTTAGTAATTTTAGTGAAAGCCTCAGAACTTATCCATCACATGTTTTACGCAGCGGATGCCCTTCCAGCTGCAACCCATCTTTAGGAAACATCTATACACACTCATTCACACTCATATACTATGACCAATTTAGCCTACCCAATTGACTTGTACCACATGTCTATGGACTTGCGGGGAAAACCAGAGCACCCGGAGGAAACTCACGCAAACACAGGGAGAACATGCAAACTCCACACAGAAACGCCAACTGAACCAGTCGAGACTCGCACCAGCGACCTTCTTGCTGTGAGGCGACGACACTACCTACTGCGCAACTGTGTCACCCTCAATGGATTATTATTTATTATTATTAGTTAGTATTATATTTATAAATAAATTTTTAATGTTATTGATTTTTTTTCTAGCTTTTTTGTTTGTGTACTTGATGTTAAGTGTTGGTGTTTATTGTGTTAGGTGTGTCATTCTTGTTATATGTAAAGCACCACCATGTTAGAATGAATTGCCCCAAGGGGATTAAAAAACTAAACAAGTCAAGGGAGAGTACTGTAAATAATGACAGGATACTCAATTTTGGGTGAACTGTCACTTTAATTATTATTATTTTGTTTAAAATATTCCTTTACTACAGATATCAGCTTTGTTTGACTGATGGCATGAAGAAATTGAGGTGTCTAGTTTTAACAGCTTTCTCTCTCTTCCTCATTTTAAGTGTTCTCATCTTAGATTTACCCCAACAGGGGGACTGAGGCTTGTTAAAAAGTGCACTTGGCAAAACATGTGATGTCGCAAAATATATATATCAGGCTATTAAAACAAAAGCACGTTATATCACTAAAAATATATGAGAAACTGAATATTTTCCACTCACTAACCCGGTGCTCACTTTCCCTCTCCAGGTTTAACAGCACATTTGTTACTGTACGTACCCCAAGAAAGGAGGCAAAATTGAGTTTCTTGGGGTTTCATTTGTCTGCGCGAATTGCCAAGCAAATCTGAACGGCCACAATTGCTTTTGTCAGCCAGCCAGATAGATCTTTATTTCCATGTCATCAGTTACAGCACAATAGGAGCGCTGCGCATTTATAACTGCGCATTGTATTGCACATCTTATCGAGAAATGCCAGCCACTGTGTGCATCTGTCTTTAATGGCCACAAAGACCGGCTGCTGCCTTGTTGATACTGCCAATAAACATATCACCCATCATGCCCCTGAAGCAGATTTATGAGTTAAAAAGGCCGTCGGCGAGGTTTCAGAGCAGACGAGGTCATGTCAGCCAGGGCTTTATGGTCTGTTTGACTTAGCGGAGGGCAATCAGCAAAATGTCCATCCAAGAAATAATGGAACAGGGGACCGATACGGAAATTAAATGGGCCGGGGCCATGAAACCATGAATAATAATAATAGGTGTTTATGCAGAGTTTCTTTGGAGCATTATTATTGATGTCTTTGTGGGTGGTAATCATGTTGGACGACCTCATTTGGCACATGAGTAATTTGTGAAAAGAGCTGCATAATAGTTGATTTCTTTGTGCTTTTCTAGCAGCGTTTTTGGGTCGTTCTGTTATTTATCTGTAGGTCAAACTAATTTTTTAAGAGATGTGCTGAAATTCATGCATTGTTTTCAGACTCATTTGTTTGAGAATGGTTTCATTATTTATTATTGTGGCTGACTAAATGTGTCTTTTACTATATATATAAAATGAATTGTTCAATTAATAGCAGATGATGTACAATTAACCTTCATGAACTTTTCAATATTTTTTAATCATTTCCAAGAAATAGGAAACTATTCTTAAATTCCAAAGATTTACAAGAATGTTCCTAGGTAATTGTCAAAAGTGGTTTAACTTTTATTAAAAACGTTATTGACTTGTTCAAGTTTCCGGCTTCCCCCACAGTCCAAAGACATGCGGCACAGGTAAATTGGGTAAGCTAAATTGTCCATAGTGTATGTGTGTGTGTGTGTGTGTGTGTGTGTGTGTGTGTGTGTGTGTGTGTGTGTGTGTGTGTGTTCTTGTTTTTATATCCCGGTGGGGACTTAAACCTGACTGCACACAGCCTCATGGGGACTCATGTCACCGTGGGGACCTAAATTGAGGTCCCCACGGGCAAAGCCTCACTAGCCCCTCCCAAATAGTGTTAGGACACACCCCATGCATTTTCTCTAATGTCCTCTTGGGGATCATTTTCAAGAGAATATTCTGTGTGACTGTGTATCTATGCGCCCCTGGGGGTCACACAGAATATTGCAGTCCCCACCACGTCATTGTTCTGGAAAAGTGTGTCACTTTGTCTCCACTCTATAGCGCCCCCTTACTTGTCTTCAATTATTACATTAACTGTTGATTGACCAGCATAAAAACTATTTAATACATTACATTACAAGGCATCAACTGATTAGAATATATTAGATATGTTAAAAAATTATGCTCTTTATGCAATTTATTGTAGATCTAACAACAGATTCCAAATATCCATTATGTGTTCAGGATATAAATATCCATTATTGATAAATAAATCAAAAGGAGCATAGCCAGTATTTCACTCTTGTATTAATACATTACCAGTTAAGGTTAAAATATTTTAGTGTGGTTTATTGTAATACTCAGTTCATATGCAATGGTATTACTGTATGCATCTATATTTAAAAAACTAAAGTTTGGCTTTGCCTAGATTAGCCTACATTTTATTAAAATAAACACAGGGTTTATTTCTTCCTTCAGACTTTAATGAGAAAATCACTATTGACTGTAAATGAGAACACAGAGAACAGACTTGTGTCCTTATGGAGACCTATAGCCAGGTTAGCTTGGAAGAATGAATGATGCGAGAACACAGAACATAAACAAAATATACCTGGCCCGGCTGAACCATGTTACTAATAAACATGGGTCAAAAAATTAAGTTTTGACCTACTGTTAGGTTGAATTGGTCGGCTACAGTAGGCTACATCTGTCTTTGTGAAGTTTAAGCATGTGAACAATGTGAAATAAATAGATCTGAATAAAGTTTAAAAACCTGTTCCAGCATCAAGACAGGGCTGCTATAGGGAATGAGCAAGTATAGGGGCAATGGCTGATTCAAGCATGCTATAGTGTCTGCGTTACACAAGGAGCAGCAAAAAGTCCAAAGTGCAGGACCGGTCATCACAGTACACAAGTTTTAGCTTAGTCCTTTTAGCAGAGCTGTTAATGGATATAGCATCTGCTTCAAGAGGGCCAGTACTTCTTACATCAGGTGCCTGGACATGATGGGCTCCTGCCATAAACAGAGCAGCACATTGACTTCTGTGATTCCAAATGTTAAATGTCTACAGGGACCAAATCGTTATGGTTTTTTACCCTCACAAGGGTTACATAAATCCTGGAAATAATGAACAATGTCTCTTTATCACAATAGTCTATGGGAATTTACATGTACAGTAGATTTACATACATAAAACATTTTATTTCTAAGTTAAGGATTTCTGTATATTCTTTCAAGAATTATGGGAGTATTAAATTATGGAAGACACTTTTATGCCATCCTAAAGGTGGATCTAGCTTAAGAGAAGGCAGTAGCAACAGAAGTGCTGACATGGTTTCAGACCTTGTCTAGAACATTACAACTAAGTGTGAAAAGAGAGATAGTTTGCTTT